GATTACCACATTCCATAGCCCACGGGCTTCTTTCTATGACTGCTGATGCCCGGGCCCTGTCTCCAGAGATTCAGCATCTGGACTTGGTGGTGGCCCAGGAATCCACATTGAACAGGCTCCTGGGGGCTATGGCTTTGATTGCCAATTGGTAGCTGAGAGGTCCTGTGCTTGGAGAGAGCAGAGCACCCTGCTAGGCCCTGGAGGCCCCTTGGCATGGCAGCCCAGCTCCTTCTCAGCTCTGGTTGCAGAGAAGCAAGGTGCTCCGGGGGCCCACTTGCTTGCATTTCATACTGGTAACACCGACTTCCTGGGACTGAGGGACACACCGTCTGCTCTCCCTCCATTCACCTGTTTGCCAGCTGAGGACCCTAGGGCCCGGAGAGGTGCAGGGACCTGTCAAGGTCATCCAGTGAGTCTGGCAGAAAACAGAGCCACGTGGCTCCCAGCCCAGGGCTCGGTCTGATGCACCAGCTGCCCTGAACCTCGGAGGCTCCAACAGCCCACTTTCCCTCCCTGATGGAATGGAAGTGTGAGGCTTGGTGGCTCTCAGCTTAGTGGGGGCCAGAGCCACGGCCACAACGGTGGCGCTGGCCTTGGAGGGGGGCGGCAAGGACCTGGAGGTGTCAGCAGTGGCGCTCACAGGAGCAACATCCACCGCGCTATGCAGGCTCCGGCAGAATGCCAGCAGCTGGGCTCCCCGCTCCGCCCAGCCATTCCAAGGCCTCTCCACCTGTGCCCCAGCCTCAGCGTTCCCCAGACAGGCCCAGCATTCCAGAGACAGTCTTGGAATTCTGGAGATGACTCCAGGGCAGGCCAGAGTGCGGGAGCTGTCCTGCCCCTGGAGAGGCCTCGGGGAGAGCAGAGGGGTCCCTTCAGGCCTGCTCTTGGGAGCTGGAGAACTCAAGGACCTACACGTTACCCAGAGGAGTGACGACAGCCTGGGAGAGGAGGCGGGGCCATCGTGGGTGCACCTTCCCTAGTCGCATCCCTACCCTGTGCCTGGCATGAGGGCCGGATCCTGGAGGAAGTGCGTTTGTGGTGGGACAATCACAGAAGAGATGGCAAATCCTTCGTCCATGTCAAAGCTGTGATGCCTCTGGGATGGGGTGGCAGAGATGTCAAGGCAGGGCCGGAGCTAAGTGAGGGTGCAGAGAAAGCGCTGTAAAGTCCCAGGTCCTCAGAGTAAGGAGGGCTTTCCCAGCCCCAGTTCCAGATGAGGCCCCCCGGGAAGAGGGAGCTAGACAGAGGTGGCCAGGACTGGACACCAGCCAGCCCATGTGGGTAGTCCGGGACAGGAGGTGTGGCCAGGGGGATGGGAGAGACCCTGGCTGAGTGAGGGGCCCTGGGAGCCAGGGGGGAAGGATGGGGACATCGAAGGCAGCTGGTGGCTTTGGGGTTAGGGACCTGGAGGCCCCTGAGGCCTTGGTCACCTGGACATGAGGGTTTCCTTGGAGCCCGACGGGAGAGGACCAAAGGAGTGAGGAGTGAGATGATGTGAAGGGGAGCTGGTGGGCACAGACAGTCCTGTGCAGCTCCACGGGAGATGTGCTGGAGCTGCAGGGAGACATGGAGTCCGGGGAAGCTCGTTTAAGGAGGTGGGGCAGGGAATGCTGGGGGAAAAACCCAGGGAGGCTGGCAAAGGGTGATGCGAGATGCAGGGGCGAGGCTGCAGAAAGGTGAGCGGCTATGGGTCTCTGGGGGACGTTTTAAGGGCCTGGATCCAAGCTGGGCAAGGAGAATGGGGCTGAATGGCAATGGGGATACTGAGTGCAGAACGGGGTGTCCACGGGAAGGGGTGTTCTGAATGGAGACGCCGAAGGTCACATCCTTATCAGTAGTGAGTTGGAGGATGAAGTCAGGTGGCTGAGGTAGGGGCAGGAAAGGGTGGTTGTTGGTGAGGAGGCCTGGAGGGGCACCCGGGGGACGTGGGCTGCTGTTGGGATCAGGAAAGAAGAGAGAAACTCCAAGAGTTAGGCTTTCTGTGAACAAAACAGGAGGATGGCTGGGCCAGCTGTCAAGAGGGTACATGGGGAGGTGGCGGGGGGGGTGCCTTAAAGAGGGGTCCACAGGGCAGGGGATCTGCGCGATGGCCCCAGTGTCTCTCTTCCAGAATGAGTTTGGTTGGGGAAGAACAAGAGCAACCATTCCGTCCAGGCATGACCACCCCAGAATCCTAGCTGGGAGAGGCTGAGCTGTGACCCTCCACCTAGACACCTGGTGGCTCCCGATGCACGAGCACTCACATCACACGTGTGCACAGCCCAGGGCTCACAAGCTCCCACCAGCACAAGGCATTAAGCTCCCCCATGTGCATCACCTATTTTGACTGTTTGCTGTGTTCGGTCCTCTCCATTTTTTTCAGGGCTATGTCATCCTTCGCCTAGATAGTGCTTCCTCCATGAGGGCTCCCTTGATTTCTTGATCAGAAGCAATCGTTGGAGTCTCCTACCGCTCCTGCCTTTTCGTAGTACGGTCGTCTGGGTACTGCCTGCTGCCCCAAAAGGCTTTGGTTTCTGCTGGGTGGCCCCACTGCCCCGCACAGGGCCTGACAGGGTGGGACCTCCTGAAGTTCCCTCTTTGTCCATTAGATGGCACAAGATGCCTGTGGGTGGACCCATGGATCTGTGCTGTCAAGGGGACCTTGGGGTCTGTTTCCAACTTGTGGCCAGCAAGCAGGGGCCTGCACAGAAGATCCTAACCCCCTTCCCTGGCTGGGAAAATGAGACCCAAAGAGGGAGAAGAACTGCTTGAGGCCACACAACAAGTTAACAGTGGAGCTGGGGCTCCCGGCCCCTGCCACAGGCTGTTTTTCTGCAGTGTGCGGTGGGCTGCCCCACACAACCTGCTCCAGTAGACCCAGGCCTCCCTGCAGCCCCAGCTGGGGGGCTGGCTGAGCTGAGACCCCCAGGGCGAGCTGGCAGACTGAGGAGTCGTTGGGCCTCCTGCTCACAGCTGGTGGCCACATGCTAGTTGAGGGGCTGTCCGGCTCAATCTTCAGCCAGGCATTGGCCCTCAGCCCGGTCTGCAGGCTGAAATGTCTCCCCAGCGAGAAGGAGGCAGAGGGGCTCCACCCTTCTGAGGGCCCATGACAGCCGCTGCACAGGCACACCTCACCCGTGTAGAGCCTGCTACACTGGCCACGGAAGGAGGAGACTGAGGCCCCAAGAGGGGAGGGCTTTGGCCAAGTTTCTCGAAGGAGCCAGAGGCTGGGTGGACTGACGCTAGTCCCTGGCCTCCCTGAGTAGCCCCTTGCCCAGTGCCAGGTCAGGACCCCCTGGGAGGAGCCATGTATGTGGCAGGGGGAGATGGAGACAGGGAGACAGGGTTCCAGGTCCTTCGGTCCTTCTCATGCTGACTCAAGGAGCCAACCTGTTTCCCTTCCAGGGATGAGATGAGGGTGGGGGTGGCAGGACCCCAGTACCCCAGGAGTCCCAGAAGTGAAAGAGAGTCCCAGGAAAGGGCAGGGCTGAGCAGGGCCTATTGTCAGCCTGCTGTGTGGCCTGGGCTAGGTCCTTCCATCTCTGATGCCCCCAAGTTTCTTTTCTTTTTAAGATTTTATTTACTTATTTGACAGAGAGAGACAGAGCAAGAGAGGGAACACAAGCAGGGGGAGTGGGAGAGGGAGAAGCAGACTCCCCATGGAGCAGGGAGCCCGATGTGGGGCTTGATCCTGGGACCCTGGGATCATGACCTGAGCTGAAGGCAGACGCTTAACAACTGAGCCACCCAGGCGTCGCTGCCCCCAAGTTTCTTGACCACCATCTAAGGGTTCAGGCTGGTCCATCAGGGAGGCCTAACTTGCAGGAGTTTCTAGACTCCTTGCAGCTCCTACTCTGGCCGAAGTTTGAGATCTTAGTGCCTAGAGCCTCAGATTCTGAGTGAAGGGCTCTGGGGTGGGGTGGAGTGGCAGCTGGGGGGCCGGGGGCAGAGACAGGGGCTGCTGTGGGATGGGGGACATAGGGAGAGCCCCTCACTTGTCCCTATTCAACCCTCAGGCTTGTCTCTCCTTTGTCCCTCTTTTGTGGCTCTCCTGCCCCTGAACCAGTGCTCAGACCAGAGGGAATGGAGGGGGTGTTTGCGTGCTGTCCCCACCTTCACTCTGGTGGGGTCATAGGTACAGGGTCTGTGTGCAAAGGGGAGCTCTGGGAAGAATCCACTCACCTGGTGACACTCTGGGCCCTGGGGCTCTGGTGGATCTGCACGGCTGAGGGACGAAGAGCAATGGGGGAGTTCCCTAAAATGGAGTGCATCCTGTCCTCTGCCCCAGTGAGCTGGGAGGGGGCCTGGAGGCCAGACAGGGACAGGCTTGGGTGGAGGAGGCTGGGCTCATCTCTTGCCAATCCCAGATCTATGAAGTGTGGCCAGAATTCAAGCCCCCACCCAAAACAGGGAGTCCCTTGGACTGGAATGACCCTCCCAGGCAACTTGGGCCCTGCCAGAGGAGCTGTGCTTCAGGGAACTGGACCCTCCTGGTATCAGGGATCTGGGCCCAGAGTCAGTTTGTCTTTGTTGTGGGGCCTCTGTCATGGGCAATGGAAGGGCAGGGAGCAAAGGAGAGCTCAGCTAGACCTCTAGCCAGCCCACCAACCTCTGATCTCTGACCCCTGACTTCCCTTCCGGGCTATCCACTACCCCCCCCCAACACCCCCGTGACATTTTGTTGGAGCCTGGGGACTTGGGTTTATGGACATTTTGTGTAAACCACCCACACCCCAGCCAGGAAAGAGTCTCCCCAATGGGAAACCAGCCAATGTGACACAGAGGCATTAACCACGCCAGTGAGGGCGGAGAGAGAGGCCACAGGTGCATGATGGAGGGGAGGGGGCCTCCCGCTGCTCCCTCCCTCCCTCCCTCCGCCTCCCCGCCTTCCTGGCCCTTCAGGGGGCGGAGCCCTGCCTTATAAGTGTCAGGCCTGGCGGCCACGGAGCAAACCACAACCAGCAGCCAGCAGCGGACCGAGAGCAGCTCGGCAGGCAGCGTGGTGCCCTTGGTTCCCCAGCATGGCCCCCTCGGCCTGGGCCATCTGCTGCCTCCTGGGGGGCCTCCTGCTCCACGGGGGCAGCCCCAGCCTTGGCCCCAGCGTGCCCCGCCTGCGGCTCTCCTATCGAGGTACGGGCAGTGTGCGCCCTGTTCAAGGGCACGTCTGTGGGAGCCCGGGACCCTGTGACATCCCCAGCTAGGGGGCCCAGCCAGCCCCGGGCAGTCTCTTCTGCCAGCCGGAGGGATGCAGTCACTCCCACACAGCCCGTAGGAAGGACTTCACGGTCATTCCCCCCGAGGTGGTGCTCTGGTTGCCGCCAGAGGCGGGAACTGGGAGGAGGGCAGGGGCAGGTCCCAGGAGGGTGGAGGTGGGAGAGACCCGAGACACAGGCGGGCAGCCTGAGAGAAGGAGAGAGGCATGGGGGCCCTAAGAGGCCTCAGGAAGGATGGGCAGAGAGAGATGGGGAGGGACAGAGAAGACAGGTCTGCAGGAGGTGTGCACTCAGCCTGGGTGCCTTTGCGAGCTTGGTGCAGCAGCCTGCAGTGGAGTCCCTCGCCCGCCTCCCCGTCTGCCTCCTGTATCCCATTTCCCAGTGCTGGCTTTAGTCCTTCCCTCTCTGTCCCAGAGGCTCTTCGCAGCCCAGCGGGGATCCCAGCCTGCCCTCTTTGCCCATCCTGGCCCAGGAGGTTCCTCTGCAGCTCTAACCTGGTGTGCTGGCACAGACCCCTCTGAATTCGTGGGGCTGGTCCACGGGGAAGGTCCCTGAGACACGGGCGCTCCATGACACTTCCTGGGGAAACCGGAGGGGTGATCACCCTCCCTGGGAACCCCAATCCAAGTGGGGAGACCCAGCCTGCTCTGGGAAGTCTGAGAGGGGAGACATGGCTCTACTCTGGAGAGCCTGTAGTTGGGTCTGGGGGGGGGGGGGGGGGATGTGGTCCTGTCCTGGGAGCGGTGGTTTGGGGCAAAAGTCAGACTATAAGAAAAAGCTTGAATAGGGCGAATCCCCTCGCAAGTACTGTCAGCCATGGAGGGCTTCCTGGTAGAGGCTGTTGATGAGTTTGGGGATGGAGTGGGTACTGGGCTGGCCAATTTGGATGGGTCATCCTTTGGGCAGGTGTAGGATATCTGGCTTTCCCAATGGTGGCCAATGCCGCTTCCCACCATATCCTACTGTCTGCCCCCCTTTGGCCACCTGTTACCTCCACCCCCCTAGCCAAACCCCAGGAACCCATTTCGGGATCCTCAGCTCCTGGCACCAGCATCCCCAGCCAGCCACCCTCCACCCCCACCTCTGGGGCCTGGGAGGACAGTATCCATGGAGGAGAAAGTCTTCCTTAGTCACATCCCTGGACTAGAGCCTTGGGCTCCACCTGGCCATACCTGGCCTTCCCCCTACCCAGGGCCTTTGCCAGGTGTTCCCTCTGCTGGGAATGTCTGTCCATCTGTCCCACGGAGTCAGCCTTGCCCACTGCTCACACTCACCCAGCCTTCTTCCAGGCTCTTCCCAGCACTTTGCCCAGCTTGCTACCACAAGTTCTGCCAGCGGCACCATCTTCCCTGGGGACTGGGGAGGGCCCAGATGGGCCCAGATGGGAAGAAGATGTTAACTGAAAGATCAAGGGACTAAGGGATGGAGGGGTAGGAAGCAGGGCTCAGAGCCCTCTGTCCCACCCACCCCCAGGAGCCATTTCCCAGAAGCCCTCCAACAGGCCAAATGGATGGAAACGTTTTCCAGATGTGAGTGTTGGGGGGGTGGTAGTGAATGCACAACTGGGGCCCTCCACCTCCACAGCTTAGCACGGGGACGTGGGCTGAGCAGTAGGCCCTGACCCCCAAACCTGCTCCCTCCTAGATCTCCTGTCTGCCAACCGTTCTGCTGTCTTTCTGGGTCCCCGGGGCTCCCTGGACCTTCGGGCCATGTACCTGGATGAGTACCGGGACCGCCTTTTCCTGGGGGGCCGTGATGCCATCTACTCTCTGCGGCTAGACCAGTCGTGGCTGGATCCCCGGGAGGTGAGCGGGACTGATGGAGGGGAGGGTCTGTCTGAGAGCTGGGGAGGCGAGACGGGGAAACCGGCTGTGAGGTCAGGAGTCAGCCAGGCTCTGTTTCAGGTCCTGTGGCCACCACAGCCAGGACAGAAGGAGGAGTGTGTTCGTAAGGGAAGAGACCCTTTGGTGAGTGCTGTCAGGAGTGACTGCCCCCCAGCCCTGACCAACACCCTGGGCTTGACCCCCAGGACAGCCTGTGGCCACTCTCCCCAGGTACTTGTGCTGGGGGCATTTGGAGCAGATCCTGAGGGCTCTGGAAGGTCTGTGAAGAATGTTACCCCCGCCCTAGATCCCCAGAGCCGATCAGCCAAGCAGGGCTGAGTCCCGGGGCCCAAGGAGACAGTAAACACCTCCTCACCCCCTCCACCGCACCCCTTCTCCCTGCTAGGTGGAGTGTGCCAACTTCATACGGGTGCTGCAGCCCCACAACCGGACCCACCTGCTGGCGTGTGGCACCGGGGCCTTTCAGCCCACCTGTGCCCTCATCACGGTCGGGCACCGTGGGGAGGTGAGCCTGGGGCAGGCCCCACAAGGGACTGGGAGGCAGTGACATTTCTGCCCTGCTGTCTGAACACTCCCCATTGAGCCTGGCTCAGGGCAGAGAGGTCAGGGGCCTGAAAGGCGTCTTTGTGCCAGGCTGACCCCATTGGTGAGGCCCTGAATGAGGGTGCCTTCCGCCCACTCTCCAGCTGCACGCGATGGCCACTGCCTGGGTGGGGGGCTGGGGCTGCTTTCCCAGGTGACACCCTTCCCTCCCTTCCTCCCTCTCCCCCAGCATGTGCTCCACCTTGAGCCCAACAGTGTGGAAAGTGGGCGGGGGCGGTGCCCGCATGAGCCCAGCAGTCCCTTCGCCAGCACCTTTGTAGGTGGGTGATGCCCAGGCCAGGACGGGCATGAGGAGGGTGGGTGCTGGCCGATGTCATTGGGAAGGGTTGGGTCCAGCTATGGGGCCTGGCCCTCCTCCGCTGATTCTGCCCCTTTCTCGCCCAGGTGGGGAGCTGTACACAGGCCTCACGGCTGACTTCCTGGGGCGCGAGGCCATGATCTTCCGGAGTGGGGGTCCCCGGCCAGCTTTGCGTTCTGACTCTGACCAGAACCTCCTCCATGGTGAGCCCAGGGTCTGCCCGGGGCAAGGCTAGCTGGGGTCTGCCCCCGGAACTGACAGGGAGGCAGGAGAGCCTGGCACTGGAGTGGGGATGGGAGGGATGGCCCAGCCCCACTCTACTTCCTGGAATTCCAGCCTCCAGTGGGATCCCTGTGCCTTTTCCCCTCCCCGCTGGGTTCACCACCTCTCCACCACCCCCATCCTCCCCTCTGAGGCCCCCCCCTCAGCCAGCTGCACCCTGTTACCTCCCAGACCCGCGGTTTGTGATGGCCGCCCGGATTGCTGACAACTCCGACCAGAACGATGACAAGGTGTACTTCTTCTTCTCGGAAACTGTGCCCTCGCCCGATGGTGGCCCAGGCCGTGTCACTGTCAGCCGCGTGGGCCGTGTCTGTGTGGTGAGAGCTGTGAGGAGGCAGCGGGGTTCAGATCCTCACCACACCCTCTTCCTACACCCGTCCCCACCAGCAGCAGGAGGGAAACTGAGGCGAGGGGGTGAAGCCCGCATCCATGCCTCTCCCTACAAAGGGTGAGGGTGGAGGAGCAGGAGGGGGGCCCATCCCCGTGGAGCTCGAGGCTGACTCTGACCCTCACCCCCCAGAATGACGCAGGTGGCCAGCGAGTGCTGGTGAACAAATGGAGCACTTTCCTCAAGGCCAGGCTGGTGTGCTCCGTGCCTGGCCCCGGTGGTGCCGAGACCCACTTTGACCAGCTGGGTAAGTGCACGGCCAGGGCCAGGCCTGGGTGTGGGTGCGGAGGGCCCAGAGCCAATGAGGGGGTGGGCATTGACGGTGGCCTTCTGTCTCCCAGAGGACGTGTTCCTGCTGTGGCCCAGCTCAGGGAAGACCCTCGAGGTGTATGCTCTGTTTAGCACAGTCAGGTGGGCACACGGGCCTCCCCTCACATCCCCATCCCTGGTCCAGTCTCTGCACCCCCAGCGTCCTCTGTTGAGCCTCTGCTTTTGTGTCCCGACTTTACCATGGGTCCCTGTCTCTGTCCCTGACTCAAGGACTCGAAGGCTCTATTCTCTCTCTCCCTCTCTTTGTCTTTGCCTGGGTACCCTCGCTTTCCGGGCTCTGTTGTCTGCAGGCACTGCCACCCTCTGTACTGTCCACGGAGCCAGGCTGCCCCCTTCCCACCTGTGACAGCCACCCTGGCCTGACTGTCCCTGTCTGCCCTCGGCAGTGCCGTGTTCCAGGGATTCGCCGTCTGTGTGTATCACATGGAGGATATCTGGGAGGTTTTCAAGGGGCCCTTTGCGCACCAAGACGGTCCCCAACACCAGTGGGGACCCTATGGGGGCAAGGTGCCCTTCCCTCGGCCTGGAGTGGTGAGTGTCTGCCTGGAGCCTGACCAGGGGAGAGGGCTGAGCGGTGACTAAAGGGACTCCACCTTGGGACAACTTTGCGGCCGAGCTGGGGCTCCAGAGGGGCCAGGTGGGGTAAGGAGGGGAGCCGAGCCCCGACCACATTAAGGAGCCTCTGCTCCGGCCAGCGCAGCCCCTCCGAGATGGGCATGCCCGGGGAAGTGAGGCCTGGAAACAGGCTGGGGCGGGGAACGTGTGGTCCCAGGATGCTTCAGGTGCTCCCTCTGCTGCCACTCACAGTGTCCTAGCAAGATGACAGCACAGCCGGGACGACCCTTTGGCAGCACCAAGAACTACCCAGACGAGGTGCTGCAGTTTGCCCGAGCCCACCCACTTATGTTCCGGCCCGTGCGGCCACGGCTGGGCCGCCCCGTGCTTGTCAAAACGCACCTGGCCCAGCAGTTGCGCCAGATCGTGGTGGACCGCGTAGAGGCAGAGGATGGGACCTACGACGTCATCTTCCTGGGGACTGGTGGGTGGGCCGAGTGGGGAGTGGGGTGGCCCGGCTGGGGAGGTGTGCCGGTCGGTGGGGGGAGGGGGGCTCTCCTTCTCCACTGACCCCTCCTCCCCTGCCCCAGACTCAGGCTCTGTGCTCAAGGTCATGGCCCTCCAGGGTGGGGGCTCCACTGAGTCTGAGGAGGTGGTCTTGGAGGAGCTCCAGGTGTTTAAGGTGAGAACGGGCTGTGGGGAGGGGGGACTGATGGGAAGGGGCCCCTCCAGCCCCACTGCTGGGTCTAGGCCTGGCTCCGGGGACACAGGAGCAAAATGCAGGGGCCGGGGGCCTGTTCTTACTGACCTCGCGGGCAGCGGGAGGAGAAAGTGAGACCCTCGCTGCTGCAGGGCCTTGATGGTGCTCCGTCTGGCCGTGGGGCCCAGAGAAAAGTTGGAGGGCCCAGGGAGGGTGTCCAAGGTGGTCACCCCTTGACAAAGCCCTGCCAGGCTCAAGTCGCAGTGAGGGGGTGGCTGAGACCCCAAGTCCCTAAGGGCTTCTGTGGGCCCCTCTATAGAGCCAGGCAGGGCGTCATCTGTATCTGGGGGACTGCTGTGCTCCTGACATGGATGGGTGGTGTGGGACAGTTGCCTCATTGCTGGAGAACAGGGCTGTGGGAGGGGACGCTGGAGTTTTGTGCTTTTTGTTAAGCCTCCTCCCTGGAGGCCAGCCAGCGTGAAGGGACCTTTCTAATAACCCAGTGTCTGGGAAAGACTGTCTGGCCTTGGTTGCCAGGGAGTGCACTGACCCAGGCTGGGAGGTAGGTGGCTCCCACGCTGGGGCTGGAGGAGGCTGAAGCAGGGACACAGGGGAGGTCTGGCCCCAGCTCACCCCTCTCTGGGACCCTCCTCCTTCTGCAGGTGCCAACACCCATCACTGAGCTGGAGATCTCTGTCAAAAGGGTAAGAGCAGCTGCTATCCCGCCCTCCCTCCTTCCTCTAACCCCTACCCCGCTGAAGCTCTTTGAGCGCGACAGGCTGGCCGCTGTCTGCTGGAAAGCGGTGCTGCAGCGGGCCCCGGGCTGCCTGATAATGAGGCCTTGTAATGAGGCTTGAGAGTCCAGCGGGGAGCTGAGATGCCCATGTAGGAAACCAGTGGGCAGTGGGAGCCCTGAGTCAGTGAGGCTGTGTTCAGAGAAGGGGAGATCTACAAAGGCCAGTCCCCCTGGGGAGACAGCTTCATGCTTGAAAACAAAATCCAGGATTTAAATCCAATAGGGGAGAGCCACTTTTTAGAGGCCTGCTTCGTCCTTTCACAAGTGGCAAAATCTCAAGCCTATCTGCCCCAGTTTATCTTTGGGTAAGTCCCAACTTTTGTATTGGGATTGCTTAAAGCAGAGTGTACTAAGCTCAGAGGCAAGTCAGGATAAAGGTCATCGAGGTAAAGAGCAAAAGTCAGCAGCAGGAAGGGCCTGGACAAGCCCCTTCGAGAAAAGGTCTGCCCCAAGCCCTCCGTGTCCTAGCACAGGATCTGGTGTATGTCAGGTGCGTGATAAACATTTTTGGTATCTGGGGATGCATCCAAGAGGTTCTGGAAGACTGCCTGCAAGTGGTGGGGCAGTCTCAGGAAGCCCAAGGGGGCCAAGAGCCTAGCTGCTTCTAGGTGGGGGCCGAGGCTCACGCTGGCCCTGCTTGTGTCCCTCCCAGCAAATGCTGTATGTGGGCTCGAGGCTAGGCGTGGCCCGGCTGCACCTGCATCAGTGTGAGACTTATGGCAGTGCCTGTGCCGAGTGCTGCCTGGCCCGAGACCCGTACTGTGCTTGGGATGGTGCCTCCTGCACTGGCTACCGGCCCGGCACCAGCAAGCGCCGGTTCCGCAGGCAGGACATCCGGCATGGCAACCCTGCCCTGCAGTGCCTGGGCGAGAGCCAGGAAGGTGAGTGGTGGCAGGCACGGGGGCACCAACTGGGCTCCCATAGGCCCCTCCTCGCCCCTCTGGCCTGGGCTCAACCCCTGGGAAGTGTGGCCTCAGACTGGTCCCGTGTTAACAACCCGCCCCCCACCCCCGGTATTCCTACGTGTGCAGTTCCCGTCCGTGTATGGGTGGAGGGTCTTTGGACAGAGTGATGGACACCTAGGTCCCTGTCACACTGGTGGGGGCCCCGGGGTCCCACAGTCCTGAGCTGAGCCCCCCTCCAACTCCCCCCCAGAAGAGGCTGCAGGCCCCGTGGCAGCCAGCACGGTCTACGGCACGGAGCACAACAGCACCTTCCTGGAGTGCCTGCCCAAGTCTTCCCAGGCTGCCGTGCACTGGTTCTTGCAGAGGCCAGGAGGCCAGGGGCCCGACCAGGTGAGCAAGGACCCGGCCTTGACCCAGGGCAAGGAGCCTGCACGTGTCCTGATGCCACATCCCTCCCTGAACCCCAAGTCCTGAACCCTAGGAAGGGGCTCTGGGGGGAACCTGCCAGGGCAACTGAAGAAAAGTATGTATTAAGTCGCTGGGGTGCCTGGAAGAAGGTGCCCTTCTTCCTGCCTCCGGGAAACCCCAGGCGAGATACGGCTGCAAGCCATTCAGTGACAGGGAGCCCGCTAACTCCCAGGCACTGAGCTGAGCTCTGGGAGGCGGGTAGCAGAGATGGAAGAGAGGAGGGGGGCTGGGCGGGTCAAGAAGTCCCCCATGCTTACACATATGGCTCATCTGTGAAGGGATCTCTTTCCCAGGGGTTCGTGGTTCTCCTCTGCCCAGGGTGGCGCCTAACTTGCACTGAAACTTGCACACACATACCCCCTACACCCACACCCACTGCCTAGCTCAACACTTCCTCCATGGAGTCCAGCTGTCTGCCCAGGCCCCTCTCCTCCCCCATCCGGAAAGGTCTGTCAACCCCAGAAATGGCTTCAGGCTGGGGCCTGCAGAGGGAGTGGGTGGGGCAGGGCGAGGAACCATTCTCCAGCCTCTCCCAGGGGCAGAGAAGGGGAGGGAGTGGGTTGATTATAGGAGGGGCTCTCCTTCCAGCTTGGGAACTGGGGGAGGCCAGCTTTGGGCCAGCTGTCGGGCTAAGCACTAAGAAGATGCCCCCAGGAGGCCAGAGGCAGCCAGCAACAAGACGGTTACACAGTACTTACCACCCAGGCAGTCCAGAATCCATGTGCAGATGAGCAGACAGGGTCCAGGCTGGGTCAGAATAGCACTTCGGCCTCCTGCACTGTGATGGGCACTCAGCCCGCCCCTGGTTGGGGGTAGTGAACAGTGCAGACAGGGGCTGGGAGGCTGTGTGCGTGTGTGTGTGTGTGTGTGTCTGTGTGTGTGTGTGTGTCTGTGTGTGTATGTGTCTGTGGGGGGCGGGCAGAATGGAGGGGACTTCTGGTCCTAGGGCTATGGGTATAGCCCTCCCTGAATAAAAGCCCATAAATACCTTTACCCACCCTGGTCCCTGGGACTATGTGGCGGGGCCCCCTAAGGCCAAGGTAGGTGCCCCAGAGCTCTGACTAGGGGAGAAACCAAAAGCCTTCTTTGCAAGTCCCGTCCTGGGTCCTGGGAAGGTGAGACCCTGCCTGCAGGGTCACAGTCTGGAGGAGGAGGCCAGCCTGGGCAGGAGAGAGCGGGGAGGGGGGAGTGCTTCAGCGTTGGGCCCTGAGATGTGAATCTGGAAACCAGCGCGCCCCGGAGAGAATCTGATGGTGTGTGTGCGCGCTGCTCCCTGCCCCCCTCACACCCTCCCACGCTCCCAACAGGTAAAGACAGATGAGCGAGTCCTGCAGACAGAGCAGGGGCTGCTCTTCCGCAGACTCAGCCACCTGGACGCTGGCATCTACACCTGCAAGACACTGGAGCATGGCTTCTCCCAGACCGTGGTCCGCCTGGCTCTGGAGGTGATTGTGGCCTCGCAGCTCAACAGTCTGTTTCCTCGGGAGCCGAGGCCAGAGGAGCCCCCAGCCCGGGGAGGCCTGGCCTCTACCCCCTCCAAGGCCTGGTATAAGGACATCCTGCAGCTCATTGGCTTTGTCAACCTGCCGCGGGTGGACGAGTACTGTGAGCGCGTGTGGTGCTCCTCCAGGAGCCGAGGCAAACAGGCCAAGGGCAAGAACTGGGCGGGGCTGGAGCTGGGCAAGAAGGTGAAGAGCCGGGTGCAGGCCGAGCGCAATCGGACGCCCCGGGAGGTGGAGGCCACGTAGAAGAGCGTGGAGGAGAGGGTGGTCGGGATGCACCGGGTGGCCCAGCAGCCCCCAGAGTCTCCCACCCACCCAGCTAGGGCAGAGGGGGCCCAACATGCCCGGTTGCCTCTTAGAGATGGGAGTCCCTGCCCCCCATACTTCTACCAGGCTGCCCACAGGAAAGGCTGGGGCCCGATGGAGGGGCCCCGTGTCCAAGGCCCGTTCCCTGCCCCTCTGTGCTCCCAGTCCTAGGCTGGAGCCAGCACCCTCTGGCTGCGGCCAACCCCGGCGGGCCTCCTGTTTGTTCTCAGATATGGCCCCCAGAGCACATTTCCGGTTGTGCCCGGCGGTGAGAGGGCTGGGTGGTTCTTTCCCAGCCAGCAGAACAATGGCCATTCTGAGTGACCCTTGGAGTGGGTGTGTGGGTGCGTCCGAGGAGGTGCCTGGGCAGGGGGCCTTAGGCAGCCAGAGGAAGATAGAGGTTGCCTCTAAGCTAGCACCCATTAAGAGGACCTAGTGTAACTTGGGGTGGGGAAATGGAGGCGCTGGGAGGGTGGAACAGCAAGACCCCCCCCCCCACTTTCTGCCCTGATATCTTGGTGGCTCCCTGCTGCTGCCCACCACCTCTTCTCCATCACAGAATCGTAGAAGCATTGGCAGTCAGAGCTCTCTGGCACCCGGGGGGTGGTCTGGGTCTCAGGCCCTACTTCATAAACCAAGCTGTGTCCCACAGCCTGACTTGCCTCCCCAGACCCCAAGCTGCCAGGCCAGGTTCCCTGGGATGCCCAGACCTCCTGATGGGATTCTCCCTTCCCACCGTCAGGGTCTCCATGCTGATGAGCAGGGAGAGGGTGGGTTCTAGGAGAATGTCATCCCTCTCTCTGTGGACTAGACGTGGGGAGAGGGGAGCTGGGGAAGTGTGGGGCAGGAGGAGGGGGCTGTCTTTCACAGGGCAATGCAAGCATGCCCACAGCTGGGGAGGGCGGGAATGTGGCAGCTCCCTGAGCAAGCTGCAGCTGGTGGGAGAACCAGGCACAGGGCTTTGCCAGGGGCCACAGAGGACTGGGAGGCTTCTGGGATGGGGAAAGGGTGAGAGACGCTAGGACGGGCTATGGGACCCCAGAGCAGGCATTCTCAAGAACCCAAGATAGCATCAATTAGCTCAGGAGGCACAGGAAACCCAGATGTTTCCCAACCTGGAATCTTTGGTTTCTACTAAGTAAGGGTTGGTGGTGAATGGTTTCATTTATGAAGACTTTTCTCTTTTAAGGGAAAAAAATGGAGGGCAAAAGCCAGTTAAGTCCTGCTGGCTCTTGGGGGTGAGGCTCAGGTGGCCAGGATGCATTTTGTCTGGGTGCGTAGGGGGGTGTTTTTGCCATCAGCAGTGATGTGTTTCTCGGGCTGGGGGGCACAGATGGGAGGAGGAGAAGGACTGAATGAGAAGTCATTCCCAGCCTGCATATGAGCAGGTTAGTGACGCACAAAACCAACAGGAGGCAGACAAGAGCATCAGGTTCAAGATTCCCTCCATGAAAACAACCAAAATGAAGAAAGGAGGAAAAAAAAGAAAGATAAAAAGCAGGACCGGGCTTCCTGCTCCATTGAACTCGAACCCAGACTGTGCATCTGCCTTGGGTATTATCTGAGTCACCCCATCACGCCCAGAGAACTGGGATCCAAAATAGGCCCCCCCTTCCTCTTTAAACTTCACAGGCAATGAACCAGAGGCACTGAGACCGACCTGACAACCCTTTGGGAAGCCTCGGGCCCGGGGCTGCTGCGGCTGGGCTGTCCGCAGGTAAAAGCAGAGGAGAGGACGACTGTGGGGAGTGGGGCCGGGGAAGGGAGCAGAGGGAGAGGTAGGGGCCACGGAAGAGGGACAAGTAAGAGCCCGGAGCCCCAGGAATGGGTGTGCAGAACTGCAGCCCCTCTGTCCCAGCGAAACAAGGAAGAAATGCCGAGGCTCTCAGAGGCCTCTAGGCTGGACCCAGGCATCGCCCGCTCCAGGCGTGGGCCACCCTACGCAGGGTTGTCTGGGGAAGTGACTCTGGAAAATGGAAGAGAGGAGCTCAAAATCCCGAACAACGAACACCTGCACTTAGAAAATTATGGACAGCTTCTGCCAACTCCCCACACCTCCCACCCCGGTGGTACTGTGTGTGATTAACTCCTGGAGATGCCTCTATGTGTGAATTCTATTTTTATATTCATATGTTGAGATCGGCCTTGTGGTTTCTCTGTCTTCAGAGCACCCTTCTCATAATTACTATCGTTATTTTTATTGTCACAACCACCTCTGTGCTCTGAGGAGGATACACGGTGGTCTACCACACAGACCTACAAGGAAGGCGATGGAGTGAATATTTATATCACATAATTATATCATTATTGTATCTCTTTATTTCTGTTCTAAATTGACTGATGCCCTCTGTGTGAGCTAGAAAGGAAGAGCCTTTCCATCCATTCCAGGAGGGAGACGGCCACCCTAAGGGGTATATTCTAGAAAGGAGGGAGATGGGCAGGAGGGGAAGGAAGGAAGGAGTCAAAGGGCTTTGTCTAGGAAACTGAGTTCGCTTATTAAGTTAGGAAACTCCTGCCCCTCAGGCTTCTGAACTGACCTTCTTGGGCTTCAGGAAGATCTTGAGTCAGAAAAAAAAAATGCTGGCAAAGGGCAGCTGGGCACGTAGGCAGCCCTGTTCCTTCTCCACAATAACACTTGATATTTGTAACAGCAACACTTGGCTTGGCGCCTGTGTTCCTCGCAAGCCACATACCAACGTATATTAAGGCTGGTGCTCTTGCCTGGGGGGCTGGGCTGCGCTGTGGGGGTTGAAGCTTCTGAGGAGGAGGGGATGTCTGGATGCCGCTGAAGGCGCCACTGACTGTGCCCCCCCCCCACCAGAGACATCATGCCCCTGCCCAAATAGCAGAGCCCAGTGTGCCGGAGGGAGATGGGAAAGGGCAGGAGCGATTCGAAGGTGGGAGGGACATCTTGCCAGGGAGACTAGCCTCTTGCTAATATGCTGAGTATGGGCCCCTCAATCCATACTAGAGAGTAGGGGGGCTTAACAAGTCAGTCATCTGCCCCATCTGGCGGCCCAGGAGCAGGGCCCCTCCTTTTGCCCCTGGGCCTGACAGAACTGAGCCTCTGTGTCCTGCCCTAAGCTGCCACCACCACGCCCCCCCCCCCCCCCCCCCCCCCCCCCCCCCCCCCCCCC